CTCTGAAAGAAAATGAAAAACTAGTTGCTCAAAAATTAACCTGAAAACCGTGATGTCACCAACAAAATTGATATGTGACAAAATTAAACTGTTCGATGGACAAATATAGCACATTTTCTAAATCTCCAAGCCAAATTCTATTTTGAGAAAACAATTAATCGATACAAACCGTATATAACGAGTCTTCAATATCATAGAAAGTAGTTGGAAATGTATGTGCACGACTTTTGAGTTGAACAAAATGCTTGAATATTCGTTTTGTTTCTTTGATGATTAATTGATGAAAGTTCAAGTATCGGGAGGCTAAACTGTCATGTCACCCGTTTAATTACATTCATATTCTGACCTGTGAACATTGCAGAAGTATTCTTTGAGTTTATAAGAAAACTGCTCGTCAACTTAGCTTTTCTTCAGATTTGTTATAACGATTAATATAAAGTTGTAGGGTTGATTTTAAAATATTTCTTATGATATATATTTAAAAAAAATCTGTATTCATATTTTGTGAGTAATCATCATAATTGATACTCAAAGGAATAAATTTAATTTTTTTTTTATTTAGATTTCGTTTCACAGCTAATTCAACTGTAAGTATGGAGTAATAGATTTAAATTGCGTTTTAGTTCATAAAATAAATTAGATATAATGTGCTTACTGAATAAAAGAAGTTGAAACGGGGTAATGATAAAGAACCGTCGGTTAACCGATGGTTTTTTGCCGATTCAAAAGACATAGGGTGATTCTATTCACCTTGCAATGACGTTATCTGATTATTTTTATTTCATTTTCTATCACAGAAAGGCAAATGGTGTTTTAAAATCCGTTTTTGTCTAAAGTTAACGCGATCTTGCAAATATTGGTAGAAAGTCGGACATTTTTTAGTGCTGTAAAATCAAATAAATTGATATTAGAGAAAGAAAAAAAGATAAGACACTTGAGTCCGTATGTTTTATTTATTTCTATCTACTGAATTATCTAATTTTCAAAAGCAAATACGTGACAATGAGAAAATTGTTTAAGTTCAATAATAGTTCTATTGAAGATTTGAATTGTTTTTAAATAGTAAATTTTGATTTAATTATCAACTTTGAAATGAATCAGGCTAACAGCTTTTTGAAAACTTCGTCATGAGTACAAAGTTCATGGAATTCCTTTTGAGAAATTTTTCCATCTTTTTTCACGTCATATTGTGCAAAGACTGCATCTACATGTTTCTTGAATGCTTCAAATTCCTTATGATCGACTAATGTACCAGCTGGCTTAGATACAACAAACATTTTTGCAATCTCATCTCGTGAAAGAGAACCACTGTGATCGAAATCACATAGAATAAACATCAATGCAAGCTTTTTTGTCGGCGTACCAGGTGTCATCAAACAAGTAGCCATCAGAAATTCATTAAAGTCGACTTTTCCTAAACAATAACAATAAAATGATCATCTAGAAAAAAGCTGCTTACAAAAAAACTTACCCGAATGATCTCGATCGAAATATGAGAAGACTCGTTCGGCTAGATCAGTAGCGATCAAATCAGTGGTTTCAGGTGATATTTGTTTATGCAATTGGATGAACTCTTCTTTCGTGAGTTGGCCCTTGGGTGCTGCTGCACGAAAGTGTTCTACAAATGAACAATGTAATGAGCTGAAGTTCGAATCAAAGCTTTAAAAAATGTCACTGAAAATTTTCTGAGAGTAGATTTTGCATTTAATTATTTTTATCTGGTTCAATAGAGCAACTCCTCTTAAATTTAATTGTGATCATGAATGTCACTTTAGAGAGGTTTATGACTGAGATTCCAACTAGGTTACGAGATACGAACGGAGTTTTTCTTGAATTTCTGCTTCACTTAGATGTGAAATTTTCTTGAGATCTTCCATATGTTCGCCACTCAGTTGGACTTTGCCTGTTGGTTTGACTGGTTTAGCTGCCATTTCGTCAATTATTCAAATTATTAAACACTTCTTGTATAGACTTTAACTATCTAAAATAACAAGAAAAAAAAAACAAATCGACAACTGTCGAATCTATATGAAATATGCTTCTCACTCAAGGGTATACCGCACATTTGACTATTTATATAGTCAGAAATATGTATGTTTTATCATGATTTTTATTTGTGCACATAGCGGGAGCATTCATGTAGAACGTTGAAACATGTACACTGATGTGATAGAGTTTTATAATTACCGATAGATAGGAATCACTTTCGAATCATTACATTATTAATATGCAGACGTTTTTCTTGTTATTTGAAAATGTTCACTGAAAGTAGCAATATACAGGCTGCGTAAAATATTTTTCCCGGGGGGGATAATAACGCTGTAATTTCAAATAACATCAATAACAAATGCAATACCAAATTAAAGCGCATAAAAAATATTATTCATTAATGACAAAGAGTAAATGTTATGGCAAATTTTCAGTGTCGAATTTAGAAAATGCCGAAAATTTTACGCCATACCAGTAGAGAAAAATTTCTTTCGTGAGACAGTTCAAACTAGATCTCATTTAAAATAATCAAGATCAAAAATTAATATTTGTCTCTTACGACTTGATGAACATAATCAATAGTAAGTATGACATATATTAGCGTTTTTACAACAGAAAGATGAGACAAATACGAAGTTCTTGGAAAAGATTGTGTTCCGTGTGTCTGATAGTTCGTCTTTCCAGATTCAGTTTTGATTATTGTTCCAATATTTCTAGGTCAACTATCAAGTACTTTTTGATATTCATAATTTTAAATGCTATCTAGTTTGAACTGTCTCACGAAAGAAATTTTTCTCTGCTGATATGGCGTAAAATGTTAGGCATTTTCTGAATTTTATAGTGAAAAGTTGCCCTAACGCTTACTATTTAGTGTTGGTGAATCTCATTTTTGATGTGCTTTAATTTTGTATAAAACTTGTTGATGTTATTTGAAACCACAAGGTTACGCCCCTCGAAAAATATTTTTACACACTCCGTATAGATTATATCGAGGTAACAACTGCCTTGATCGGTGCAACTTCGATACGACATATATGCCGATAAGATAGTGTCAAAACACTTTTTTAATGTCGTCCATAGGCAAATAACAATTTTTCCATACCATAATCATGCTTACCATTTTGAATGGTATAGTTTTGCTAAAACAAGTCAAATCACAGTAAAACATTTTGTAATATCAAAATTTTCAAATTTTGAACTCAAGTTAAGTACATCATGATTGAGATAAATTAAAATGTTGGAAAAAACTATTTAACATGAAAATGAAAATGAAGAGATAGTTAAAAATAACGTCGAAAAACTTGTACTTATTATCATTGACGATTGTAAAAGAAAAAAGGGTTGCATGTAAATTAATTTTTTTAAAAGAATAATTTACTCAAATTATATTTTCATTCAACTTCTTTTGATAGCAACTGTTAGATAAATAAATAAAATAAAAATATGAAATAATAAACCAATTCTTTTTCGACAACCTTATGTTTAAGATCGTATATCTGCATTTGAATATGTTTTTCATCATCTGATAATGTCATACATAAATTCGATGTTGGATGGTATATCTGATCGTTCTAGAAAACAACAGATAGTTTGCTAGCGTACGATTTAGCTTCATTTTGGTTAAATTTATGATTAATCGAGTGTGCTAACTTCGAATCTTATAATGGAGTGAAAGTTGTAAAATCGTTAATTATCCGATAGGACTCTTTCCACTGCACTGGTTCAGATGGTTTTTGTTTTCGGTTTTGTTTCTAATATAACATCATTATATGATGAATCAGATGAATTAGAATATATTTTTTTGCTTGTGTTAAACATATTTGTATTGGATGATTCTTTTGATTGAATCGTTTGATCAGGCATTTCTAAATTACCATGACATATGACCATTTGAAGTATATTTCTTAGTATAGAATCTTTCGAAATAATGTCAAGTGCATGAGATATTTTTCGGAATGAAGTATAATCTAAATAAATATTCATATAAGCTAAGATATTGAATTTACTTATAAATAGAGACATAAAGAGTAAGACTTTTTTGTGCCCTGTACTGTTACTGGGGACAAAACCTTCCTGACTTGAAAGTTCTTTCTTATTTCAAACTCTGTGTTTAACGTAGATCCCAAAGGAGTATTAAAAACCTTGAAGGGATAAGGACATCTAGCATTTTCTTAAAGAGTTATAGCCATGTTACTGATATTTTAGTCTATGGAACAGTACCAACATCAAACAAGCATACTTTTAAATCGTCATACTTTGACGTATTACATGGTTCCGTATTTTTCTATGAATACTCGTGTTAGTATAGTTCCAAATTAGCAAAAAATGTTGATAGCGAAATTTTTATTTGTAAACAAATAGAAAATAAAATTTAATTGGTTTCAAGAAGTACAGAAGGATGTGCCTGAAAAGAAGACAGAGACCCGAATTCACCTCGTCAAGAAAAATATTCGCTGAAACGCTTCTCATTATTTTGTCTGTCGCAATTTTACTTTTCGCTGTTATGTACCTTTGCTTAATGGATATATTTCTAGTTCTAGGTATGTACTAAAAAAACCAAAAGATGATATTTTGATCTGAAAATTTCAGATCAAAATATTCTCCTTACGAAATATTGAAATCCCAAAAATCACTTATATTCCCACGAAAGATTTGAGTATCCCGTGAAGAGAACATTATGTTGAGCTGAAATATTCAGGACATTGGAACTACACGTAGGCCTATCTATGAGCGAAATTTTCAGAAAACGGCTATAATTCTGTAGAAAATGCCTGTGTGCCCTTATTCTTATGGGGCTGTTAATATCTTATGCATAGAGTCCAAACTCAAAATCGATTTTCAATTTGGAAAGGTTCCTTCGTGAGAAAAACTTTCTAATTCTTTCCCTAATATGTCCTGCACATCTTTACTTACAAATAAAAATCAATTGAAAAAATTTAAATTTTTACTACGCAAAACAATAAAAATTCTCTTCACATACTTTCACAAATTTCAATAAGATCATTAATTATATCAATTGAATCCGTTGATGCATAAGTCTGACGTTGTTGATTATTATTATTCTTTAATTTATCATTAATAATTTTCGAAATTTTTTCAACTTCTTTTTGTACAAGATCAGTTAATATATAATTTAAATCTGTTTGAACTATTTCCTTTGTTTTACGTTGATTAGCGTGCATAGTTTTAAAACGTTAACATTAAGTAAGAAATTTATTTATGAGACTAATTAAACATTTTTAATCTTACATTTCTTGTTAAATATGCACTTTTCATTCGAATACCTAATTGATAAATACTTTTACATAAACTTGTTTAGCTATAAATTTGAAAAAATGTTCAACATTTATTTCATTTTCTGTTTTCCAAGCTGATTCTTTTGTCATATATTGATCATGATATTTTATTACCTCAAAACTTTTAAAATCTTTTTTATATATTAATTTCAAATATGTCTTAATTGAAATAATTCTTCAATTTTTGGTTGTTTTTCTATAGGACCTAATAATAATTCATAATAATCATTTTCTAATTCATTTAATGTACCTATTGTTTGCCAGTAGGGATAAGCATCAAGATAGATATTTATTTTATTTTGTGTTAGAATAAGATTATCAATACAAGCAATTTGATCAGCACGTTGACCACTTACATTACCAAGATCTTGAACATGAAAATATGTTAGAATATGTCAAATAATATCACTCCATCGTACTAATTGTCCTTCGCCATGAAGAAGAACTATTTGTTTTGTAGCTATTTCATTGATATGCTATTTAGATACGAATAGATTTATCAATATGGACTAAAATACTGTCGATGTCCAAAGTTTTCTTGTCACTTATCTCACAAGCTCCTGCTGCTTCTTTCTAACGCTACAGACAGTCCCATCCATCTATCTATCGATACTTGATAAACCGGTTGCCCAAAAATTAGTCAGAAAATCGTGATGTCACCTAGGAAATTGATACCTGACAAAATAAAACTATTCGACAGACAAATCAAGTACATCTTCTGAGTCTCAAAGCCGAGCTCTACATAATAGAAAAAAATATTTTTTAATTTGCACGTTTAACATCTGATAGAAAAATAATTTTTTTTTACAGTATGGTTCGAGCAGCTAGTCTCGTAAAATTAACAATGGACCCACATAAAATTTTGGGTTTCCAAAAAAACCTAGATTGTTCATATATTTTTCAATGTTTCTGGCTCTGAGAAAAAAATTTTGATCGAGAAAACTAGTATATTCGCAATAAGTGCATTAAACTGCGTTGGATTGAACCATTTTTGACTGAAGAAATCTGTTTCCGAGCAAGAAATGGACATAGGGTGGGTGTGGGTGTGAGTCTTAGTGAGCGTGTAGGTTGAAATGTGCGCGTGGGGCATGGGTGTCGGTGTAGGGTGCCAGTGACGATGTGCGATGTGCGTGTGCGTATGGGTATGGGTGTGACTGTGGGTGCGAGTATGGATGCCAGTGCGGGTGTGGCTGCAGGAGCGGGTGTAAGAATCGGTGTCGGTCCTTCTATACTCATACCCACACCCATACCTTCACCCACAGCGACACCCACACGCACGCTCACACCTACACGCACACTCACACCCACACTGCACAAAGGAGGATTCGATACAGACTCTTGTGCATAGTAAAAGCACTGATGAAACAACTAAGAGAATGATCTTATAAAAAATATAATTTTGATTTTCATTGGCAACATGAAAGCAATGTACATGTGTGACAAGAATCGTGTTAATAATTTAATCCAACATTTGCAGACTTCAAATGTGACTTGATTGATACAAATTGAACCTTATTTTTCTGATTCTGCTTGTCAATTCTTCAATTTACTGTAATTTACATTCGATAATAAACATTTTCATAATTGACTTAACTATTAATTCTTATGGATGTCGACCATAAGAATGAAATGTTTTTAGTACTTGTTTCACGTTGAGCATTTCCTTCGTGTTCAAAAACAGTAATACTAAATATTAGTTTAAAAAAAAAAGAAAACATGTTTGCAATGATAAAACAGACATAGATGTATCGTCGAACAAGCTGGTCGGGATTAAACTGCTAGTTATGATGTAAGTGTGATAGGTATTACATATCTGCGCAAAAGAAAATCACGATAGTTTCTAGTAATCGCAAAAAAGTCATTAGCTTTCGATTGTTATGCTTTTGGTTCTGATATTCGCAGTTGCGATTGCTGTGCAATAGCATGGCTGAAGTCAATCGAATATTTGATATTACTGGTTGAATCTTTTAATGTAAGCAAATATTGCAGAGTTAAAATATGTTTTGGTTGTGTAATAGCCAATTTAGTACACATCGATGACATTGCATCGGCTCGAGCAGTTTCAACACGTTGCACTGCTTCAGTTTTGGTTTTTTCACGTAGAAGTTGAGCTGACGCTTCGGAATAAGCGATTGATTTTGTCGCGTTATTTCGAAATTGATTTACTAATATATCTGTTTGTTTTTTAACGAGAGCTTCCTGATTCAAATATTCTTCACGCTCCTTTTCTAATTCACGAACCAAACCCAAAAGACGCCGTTCCATCACACGATCGGGTACATCAATATCTATAATAGACAAAATGAAAAGTCAAAATAAAAATTAAGCGCATACATACCATGAAGTTGAAGATAGCGTAGTTCGGCGAAGAAACCTTTGTCTTCTTTTGCACAACTCTGTGCACGCGGCTTACATCCTTCAACACAATGTTCATGAATTGGACAATTGGGACAGTTGGTCTTGCACTTCGGAATACAACATGATCCACCTAAAATTTGTTTTTTTTTTCTTCATATAGAACCAAATACTAATTATATATTACCTAATTGACGTTTGACACCCATATAGATTTCGTGCCAAATCTTGTCACGATCATCAATAAATTCGTCTGTATCAAAGCGAGAACACGTCGATATGATGGCTTCTTTTGCACTTGAAATAAGAATTGGTTCGTAATAAATATCGTACGCTGTATGCAGAAGTGGAAGATCTTCTTTGATCAAAAAGAATTGAAATGTGATCGACTATAAATAAAAGAGAGAATTGAAGACCTTTCGCATTAATCATGAGCATTGCATATGAGATATAAAAATCATTTCACAGATTTTAGCTCTTACTAAGTAGAAGGGACACATAACTTGAAAACACATCTGAGACAAACCTGAAGCAAACAAGATGCAAAAATTATTCACAATTACTTTTTCTCTCTTCATACTAATGAGGGAACATATTTGAGTGTCCGCCCTCAAATTGACCTGAAAATTAGCCTATTCTGTAGAGAATTTTGCTTTGATCACAAATATTAATACCTTAGTTGTCACTGTTGACATCTTGAAAAAAATCAAAAACTCACAATTGTTCATGTTGCAGAAAATCGGGCATGTCTAGTTGACGTTAACACAGGATTTCAGTGGACAATACTCATATTAGTAGAATATCAGAGCAATATCGTCCATATGATGCCATACTAGCCGGTGATTTTCCCTCCATGTTTTTATATTATTTTGTAGCGCTTGAAAAGCTCCATTGAACCATATGGAAACTAGCCTGGCCAGTAATCGGATTGTTAGATAAAGAGAACTGATTTTCATCAACAGTGGGATCCAATCAATTGACTGTTTCAATCGGCTTGTGCACAGGACAAACACATGCTATTGAACTAATTCTATCAGGGATCACTTTTGAAAACCTCGTGTGACAGTTTGACATAGAAGATATCAGATTCCTGGATGGCGCAATTTCATCACTTACGGACACCCCGCCTCCTTTACGCTGTGGTTCACATATATCTACTGAATTTCAGACATGTTTTGATTATTGTTAAACAAGAATCCTTCATCACTGTTCAAAATGGTAAAGCACATATTCCACTTTCAAGTCCATTAAAAACTGCGTCGTCGGAGACTACGTACCGTAAAACCTCCTATAGTGGATGCCTCTCTATAGTGGACATCTTTAGAGAGCATGTATACTGACGTTTCGAGCATTAAAATATCTTTCAGGCTAAACGTGACGATGCTGCTCGCTTTTCACAAAATTTATAAATGTAATGATCTTTGGAGAACTCCAGAAAACACATATGCCTTTTTTTTGCTTTTCAAATTCAAATCCGAAGAAAGCATACAAAATTAGATTCCATAGCTACATTTTGACTTTGCAACATCGTTCTCTTCTCGATGAAGGGAAATAAAAAAAAGTTGAATTGCTCATTTTTGTTGAAAATATTTGGTTCATCACAACAAAATATTATTTGATATAGTTCATTAGGTAGACTTTAGATCGAGAACATTTTTCGTATCACATAAAGACGCTTTTCTTTTTTTTTTAGCAAAGATTATGTAGCTACGGTCGAGGATCAACCACTATTTCCTAGAGTGAATTTTCCAGCATTCTCTGAAATTTTCAAACATGGCCGTATTGATCTTCGAGATCGGCGCATTCAATTGTATCGAATTACAAATTTTTACAGTCTCAACCGAAGATAAAAATGCATCGCCTGTTCCCTGGCAAAATGTGCTAGTGGAAAATTAATTGAGACACCACAAAATTTTCCCTCCCAATATCACGAGGAGTCATCTTTTACTTGATTTCAATATAGAAATGTGAATTGTAGAAGAGGCCTAAATGTAATCGATCCGCTCTCCTTGTTCTCTAAAGCATTGAAAATTATGGGGTAGTTTATCCTTCTGTGTTCATTCAACAGCCTTAACTAGGGTGGCGTTTTAATTTGGCAATTTAAGTTTGTACTTTCCTAGTAGAAATTAAACTTCTCATTCAGCTAATCATGCGGTTCGTAGTCGAATTTAACGCTCTTTTAAATAAAATAGAATACAAAATACTTTATTTTCATCTCAATAATTTTAAAATTAGAGTAGAAGTACCACCCTTAGTCTAAGATTTACACTCGCATCTGATCTTGCATCCGAATCAGTCTAAAGTGAGCTGCGCTCGAAAGTGGTGAAAATAAATTAATTGGAAATAATTCGATGAATTGTTGATTTCTTCAGTCTTAAACATAAAAATACATTAGAACAGAGGTAATAACTTCCTACGGTCGGCTTTTTTATTCATCTTATTCCATAATAATCTTTTGATAATTAGAAAATGTATTGATTCTGTAGAAGAAAAGCGATTTCAAAAAGGCCTGACCTCTCTATAGTGGGCAACTCTCTACAGTGGTCACCTTTGAAAAGACCCAATGGTGTCTCCTATAGAGAGGTTTCACTGCAATCGAAAATTTCATTTTGACTCGCTTGTTTGGTCATGCTTTCCGAAGATATCGAATATTTTTGTCTTTTGAAGATTTTCCATAAAACTATTACTTTCGAATTGCGACTTGTACCTTTTCACACAGATAACATTTGAAGTTAGTAATTAACATAAATAGCTTTCAAATTTATTAGACGTACCTACATGAATTTATCAATATTCGGAAAAATTGGTGTCCTTGTCAATACAAGGATTTCTTGAAAAATCGCATATGGGTACACTCAACACTTCTGAAACTGTTCTGTGTAAACGACTAACGCAAGTGGCTATCGATTTGCAAAGTTTCAAATCGAAATTTAACATTGACGATCTTATTGAAAATCTTGCAAAGACAACATATCCAATATCTCAGACACGAAAGACACGACAGGCAAATCAAAAGAAAATTTTCTATTACTCACCAACACCCATCGAATAAGTATATTCAGTGGAACGATAGTTTCAATAATCTCTATTGCAGTTCAAAAGTAACATATATTCCAAAATTGTACATCTAAAATTTATTGCCTTTCTAGCAAAAATTATATTTATTCGATGGGTTCCCTCTAGTGAAGGTTTAATTTTTTTTCAAGCGTGCATTTCTGAAACTACCTTTCTACTCTGTTTTTTTCAACAAAGTGCACAAATACCAAAAATCGACTTTGCACTGAAAAAGTTCTTGCGAATGGCGAAGACCTCTGAGTGTTATGTATCCATAGAACTGATAATTTGCACATTTGTGAGACTAGAAGTGGTCTAAAGGGATTAGAGCTCCGAATGGGCTGGGCCAAGGAAAGTCAGTCCATGGGCCGCCCACTCATAAAACGTTTGTCTTGAGTGTTGATACACTATGTATTGTGATGAATACTAGCTCTTATCATTAAATATTCCATGCTGAAGGTGATAGAGCTTTAAATGAAACGCAAGAGAAAGACAATGAAATTCTGTTCATTGAAGTAAAATTTACTTCGTAATTCTTCTGAATGGATAGAATGATTTCGGTTGTTTCTCTTTTCTTTCATCATCTGTTTAGGGGCTATTAAAAAATGATGCCACCTGGTATGGAAGAGGAAGAAATGACGAAAAGATGACGTCTTTGATGTAGCGCTATAAACATCCAGGAGATATGAAAGAATTGTCGGCCGAAAATATGACATGAGGGAGAAGTCCAAATGTACCAAAAAATCGGATAGTACCATTTCCAAACGATCCCTTATTGTGTCACTATTTCTGAGAAGTCTCAGTCAATAAAAACGCAAAGCAAGATCTTTCTAAACGGGTAAATTTACCACAATGTTTATGCGCAATATCTATTCGATAAACCAGCCCATGGTTTTATTTATTTTTCTAATCGGCGCATGGGCTGGGTTGAGCTGTTTTTTAGCTCAACCCATGCGGAGTCCTGACAGAAAGTCAATCCTAGACACCTTCCTTTCCGAGCGATGACTGTTTTATACGAGTTTCAGTCTCTGATGCGATAATTATCTAAGAATCGAATGAAAATATTTCCACGTGAAATTCTGTCTATCAATGCATTTGAAAATGTCTTAAAAAGTAGTCAATAAAATCGAAATTTTGACAAAACGATGAGAATTTCGAAAGTAATTAAATTTCTTCTAATCTAAACAGATTTTACTTGCGAACAGAATATCAGCTCGATCGATGCATAACGCATTTCTTAGTTCCGTGAGATCATTCTAGACTTTCTAAAATGATTACTCATTAGTATATTTTCTTCTCTTACATTCCGAGAATTCTTTTTCGAATCTCTTCATGAAACTGCCGCACTAATATTGAAATCGAAATGATACAAGATTTTCAAGTTTATGTTTCGTCTTCTCTACTATATGTCAATGAAAAGGAACTCGTATTCCTGATCAGATGAAATGAACCGGAACAAATGAAAAAAGAACTTACGGCTATATATGACTTGATTTTTTGAAAAAAATGTCTAAGATACAATCTTTTTTGTCATTCTATTTATGTAGAAAATATTTAAAAGATGCCGTTTTCGACCAGCAGATCATTCAATAAACTTTGTACATTACAATTATTGAATGAATTCTATCTATGAAATTACTCACAAGATGAACTTCCAAATTGTCTGTGGTAAATACTGAAATTCGATTGAATTTAACAGTGTGTGCCGTGGCCTTGAACGTTTTAAAGCTAGAAAACAAATTACAGTGTGAAGAAAAATAAACAAAAGTTATTTTTTACTGATAATCAGGTCCTACAAGATGTAGTCCACCACTGTAGACTTTTTCAAGACTAACAGTACCTGTTGTATGTCGTTTAAGTAATCCATAATTGTAGAATTCAAGAGACGACAATGAGAATGACAAGATAGAGATAATGAAAATGCCTGATACGACTACGATGCACAATCCACATGAAATCGCAAAGCCACTTGCCATTTCTTCTATTCTATCTGAAAAGATGCAAATAGTTTGATATTTATAACAGCAACAACATGTAATGTCTTCAGTTCCTGTCACTCGTATGCCGTACTGCCAGTGTCACAGGCATCGACTTGTCCACATGTAAAATGAAAGAAAGAAAAAAAACCAATGAAAGCGTCTACATATGGTTAAGG